AGACAGGAGTAAACCCGACCCAGAGCTTGCAAACGCTGGCCGAGGTCCCCACCACGCCCTGCCCCGCCTTCGGCGAACTTCGCCGGCGGCTCGGGACGCAGCCCCTCCTCCTCCGCTGCTGCCGTATTGTATTGTGTACTCCGAAACGCCGATTTTACCTACCTCCGCGCTCTCTCCACCCTGCCCCTCGCAGCCAACCAGATCCTCTCCCCATCACGAGTGGTGGTCTTACTGCACCTAGTATGTTGCCCAGCTCTTAAGTAGGTAATGTACAGTATAACATTCTAGTTCTTTGTGAAACCTGGTTACATCATTTGCTATGTGACTGGCTCAATAATATTGTTAGAGTCATGGAGAGTGAAAGTGAGAGTGAGATTTGGACCAAGTCTTCGGAGTTTCTAGACCATTAGGCGAGAACAAATTCCTCAAAGAATTTTTATCTTTTGGGAGTTGTATTGCGTCGCTAGCAGGAACTTTACGGTGAAAAATGGTTTGGGTCCTACAGGCAGCAGCCTGGGCAGCTTCACAGCTGTCAGTGGCGTACGCTCACGTGACTTTCATCGCGGCGCAGCCAGGGGTTTTGCAGGGGGCGGAGCCTGCACTGGAGGCAGGCGCAGATTCAGGTTACAGTGGCGATTGCGCTTAGTTACTAGCTACCATGGAGGCGAATGGGAAGGGGTGAGTGAGTTCTCTGCTACTTGCGGTGTAGGTAGCGGGGCTTCCTAATTTCCCGACTCAGGAACTTGTCCCCGTACCCCTATTTTTCCTGGACTTTTCCGGGTGTGAACCACTGTTTTTGGGAACCCGAGTCTTCCCACCATGGATTCCTGAGATCTTTATTTTAGAGACTGCCTTGTTGGACTGCATCTCTCAGGCATTCTTTCAAGGCACATCCGAGAACTTCTAACTAGGTGTTTTGGAGACCGTCAACTCTGACCCCTCGTTGACTATTTCCCACCCTGTGGATCTCAGAATCCAGATTCAGAACCAGCTCATTGGAGGTCCCACACCTGAAATTCGTTAATTCCGTGACACTCTCCCCCTCCTCAAAGTCTCCTTTCTGGGCTTCTATCCCCTCACCCTCGAGTTTCTCCAGTTCTTTTGAGCTTGGGAGAGTTGTGGGTATGCGTAGGGAAGAGGCCCCAGCGAAGGCCCTTCTACAGGGCGGGGAGCCACATCTTGCAAGTTGGCCTGGAGCGGGCAGATAACGGTGCAGACTGGATCTGCCTTAAGAATCCGTACCTTCTCCAACCTCCAGCCTAGTATACTGACACCTATTTTCACCCCCATCTGATCATCAGATCCCAGAGTTTTCCAGAGCTGAAGAATGACACATTTCTGCGAGCAGCCTGGGGAGAGGAAACAGACTACACTCCTGTTTGGTGTATGCGGCAGGCTGGTCGCTACTTACCAGGTTAGGGGCAAGACCTGGAAGCCTAGATGGAATTTAAAACTCTGGAGAATTAAAAGTTCTGTAGGAACAGGCCTCAGGGTTGACCCTTGCCTTCCCTCTCCTGCCTGCAGAGTTTAGGGAAACCAGGGCTGCCCAGGACTTTTTCAGCACCTGTCGTTCTCCAGAGGCCTGCTGTGAACTGACTCTGCAGGTGAGGGGTCCACGAGAGGGACCAGTTTTATCCCCCCAGCTTGCCACCCAGCAACTTATTTCCTGTTCTCTACAGCCACTGCGTCGCTTCCCTCTGGATGCTGCCATCATTTTCTCTGACATCCTTGTTATACCCCAGGTACCTATTTAAACCTGATCCTGGAATGTGAAAAGTGGAAAGGGCTCTGTGGAAATCCTATTGGTCATGCTAAGGTTCAAGACAAGCATTTATTCTAACTGGATAGAAGGAAAAACTAAGGCCGAAAGAGATGGAGATTTATTTTCCTTTTCCTTTCCTCCTGGCATGGGCTGAACCTCTCCTCCTGAAGTTCCAGGGGAACCCAGATGTTTTATCCCTCTTCAGGCACTGGGCATGGAGGTGACCATGGTACCTGGCAAAGGACCCAGCTTCCCAGAGCCATTAAGAGAAGAGCGAGACCTAGAGCATCTACGGGATCCAACAGCAGTGGTTTCTGAGCTGGGCTATGTGTTCCAGGCCATCACTCTTACCCGGCAACAGCTGGCTGGGCGTGTGCCACTGATTGGCTTTGCTGGTGCCCCGGTAATGTGGGGGATAGGGCAGGGAATGGGGTACGAGGAGATCATTTTGGCAGGTCCTGTATAGACAAGGGAAGGAAGAGTCAGTTTGCCTTCTGCATCGTGACATCTTTGTATCGTTTCTGTAGTGGACCCTGATGACATACATGATTGAGGGTGGCAGCTCAAGCACCATGGCTCAGGCCAAGCGATGGCTCTACCAAAGACCTCAGGCCAGTCACCAGCTGCTTCGCATCCTCACTGATGCTCTGGTCCCATATCTAATAGGACAGGTGGTCGCTGGTGCCCAGGTAAGTCCTGTAGGAGAGGCAATGAGATTTGGACTATAAAGACTAGAAGCAATAGTCTCCTCAAATGGAGAGGGCAGAGGACTTAGCTTGCCCTCCAGTGATCTGGCCGGAGCAGCCAAGCCTCTGACACTGTCAGAGAGCTTAATGAGTGTTCTGAGTGTTTGAAGATTAAAGCTAGCACTGGGGTCTAGAGAAGACAAACTCTTTGACTGGAACTGGTATAAACAAGGATCAGGTAATATCATGGCTTCAAGTTACTTGGGGAAATAAAGACACATTCTGTACAGGAGGTTCTGAGATACTTCTCCTTTGTGTTAATGTATTTTTTTCACCATCTCTAACTTAGGCATTGCAGCTCTTTGAGTCCCATGCAGGACATCTTGGCCCACAGCTCTTCAACACGTTTGCACTGCCCTATATCCGTGATGTGGCCAAGCGAGTGAAAGCTGGGGTGCAGGAGGCAGGCCTGGCACCAGTTCCCATGGTGAGGACTGGGATAGGTTGAGTGAAGTTAAACTGTAGAACTTTAAGGGTAAGATCTGCATGGACTGAAGTGACCACTGGAGGGCAGCAGAAGCACATCCAAGAAAGTAGGCATTGCTAGGCCCTATGTCGCCCAAGAGATCTGCTCTTTCCTTCAGATCATCTTTGCTAAGGATGGGCATTTTGCTCTGGAGGAGCTGGCTCAGTCTGGGTATGAGGTGGTTGGACTTGACTGGACAGTGGCCCCAAAGAAAGCCAGGTGAGTGATGAAGGGATAGCCTTTAAGGTTGAAGGTGGTGTGGAGTTGCCAAATATGTAGTCATGATAATGTGGCTCTGGCTTTTGCTTCTAGGGAGCTTGTGGGGAAGATGGTGACCTTACAGGGCAACCTGGACCCCTGTGCCCTGTATGCATCTGAGGTAACAAATGGGGCCTCTATGTTTGTACAAGTTGTCTCTATGCACTCCTATGGCTGTGAATATGGCTGTATGATTATGCGTCTTATATCATTATGCCTATTTGTCCCTCCCCTCTGTTCTGTAGGCATAACATAAACCCTAGGAAGTAAGGGATTTTTGTTGTTCATTTGCATTTACTTAATTGTATCTGATAATTTTTTGTTAATGATTAATATTGTGTAGAAACATTCCTGCATATCTGTCATTATTATGTGGAAGATAGAAGTTTGCTAACTTCCTCTATAGACAGTGCCCTATTGGTCCCTAGGAGGAGATTGGGAAGCTGGTGCAGCAGATGCTGGATGATTTTGGGCCACAACGCTACATTGCCAACCTAGGCCATGGGCTCTACCCTGACATGGATCCAGAACATGTAGGGGCCTTTGTGGATGCTGTGCATAGACATTCACGCCTGCTTCGAAAGAACTAAGCATACAACTTATCCTGCATATACCACATACACAGAAAATGTTTTCAGGAGAATAAAAGCTCCAGAGTTGGAATCTAGTTTGTGGTTTTGTTTCTTACACATCTGTGCTCTTATCTCAGTCTGTTTTGTTTTGTTTTGTTTTTTGAGACAGGGTCTCACTATGTATAGTTCAGACTGCCCTGGAACTCACTGTGTAGCCCAGGTTGGTCTCGAATTCACAGTGATCCTCCAGTGCTGGGATTACTGGCATGCACCACCATGCCCGGCTCTTATCTCAGTTTTAAACCTGTGCTTCTTCCCTGGGGCCTCTTCTGCATTCTCTCCCACAAGTGTTCTCAGGTTAAGTGAAAATGTATAGCACTTAATTCAGGACTCTTACTACCTTCACCCTCTTAGCCAAGTCTGAGAGCTACATGGGTAGGTAGGGCTTCCTAGCTGTTGAAGCAGTAACAATTGGAGAAAGGGGTGGGGTCCCCACAGGATACAGCTATATAGCACTTAATTCAGGACTCTTACTACCTTCACCCTCTTAGCCAAGTCTGAGAGCTACATGGGTAGGTAGGGCTTCCTAGCTGTTGAAGCAGTAACAATTGGAGAAAGGGGTGGGGTCCCCACAGGATACAAAGGCCGCATTGGTAGGGCTTTGTGTTTGGGGAGGAAGGGGAGTACAGATCAAAGAGGGACACAGAAGTGGCTAAAACACTTTACAGAATCCTGGAGAAGATGCAGTTGGTAAGGAGGAAGCTAAGGAAACAAAGCATAGACACCAAAAGATGGGAAGGACATAAAAAATCCAAGCTAAGTTATTTAGGATTGGAGACTTTGATTAGTCAACACTATGAAGCCCCTGAAGCGAACGGGCCTAAGGATTGCTCTGCATTATTTTCTGAGCATACCCTTCCATTCTCTCAGGGTCTTGGGACTCTGCCCATCATAGGCACATCCATTTCCTAGGACAAGGCTCTAAGGTGGCTGCAAGCTCTGAAGGGATCTGGTATGGCAGGAAGTTCTTTTATCTGTCATTCTGTATCTCCCTGTAGGCCCAACCAGCTCCCTGTTTCAGTCTGAACAATACAGAAGGGAAAGAAAGGCCTCATTTATTGAGAGAAAACAATTTCTACTTTTAGAAAAATGACCTTTTCTGTGATCCATGATTTATTCATAGAAAAGCACTGTGAATTCACACACTTGCTAAAAAAGGGCCATTGTGATACAGAAATGGGAGTGGCTTCTTTTTTTTTAACCAACCCATTGGGCTGAGACATTATAGGGGCCCTTGGCTGGAGAGCAAGACTTTTGTAGCCACAAATAGCAAATACAACTTACCGGTCAGTTTGGAGTTAAAAAAAATGACAAAGTTTGCCAAAGAGGAAAATAAAGCAGACATAGAGGTCCTTAGTTCACACTCTAAGCTATACAACCCCTTTCCTATCAAACACCCCCCAACTCAGGAACTAAGACACAAAACAGTAAACACCAAGACACTGATATCCAATTGGCTCTTCGAGTGCCCATTGCTACCTTCTATAACAATTCTAGGCCGAGCATAGGGATCAGGAAGGTAGCAGGGACATAACACTGTGGAGGTCAGCCCACCATGGGCAGAAACTAGTAAGGGAAAGGCCAAAGGCATACCAGCCTCACCCTCCAAATCAGCATCCAATGGACTGTGACAAAAGCAGGTAGAGGAAGCTTGAGGTAGAAAGGCAGGGGAAAAAAGTGAGTATGGGTGAAAACTATGAAGCTGAAGCATCCAATCTTAGGGCAGAGAGACACTGGTGCCTAGAAGCTTGTTTATCTAGAAAGAATGGTGAATAGAGGAAGCACAGAGATGAACAAATGCCTAGCTGGTGAGAGACTATAGAATAGAGAAGTAAGATCTGGCAAAAAAGGGCCACATTTGGCTGGGGATTTAGCTCACTGGTTCTGCCTCCCTGCTTTGCAAGCCCAAGGTCCTGAGTTCGATCCCCGGTACCAAAAAAGAAGGGGGGCACATTCATGTAGCCATTCTTCCAACATGAATGCACAGACATACCTACATGTAGAAATAACTCATATATATATATACATATATATTATATATATATGTATATATATATACACACACACACACACATATATATATATACATAATCTCAACGGATAGGCATACACACAGACAAGCACATATGTATTTCCACACAATATACATATATTATATATATATATGTATATATATACACACACACACACATATATATATATACATAATCTCAACGGATAGGCATACACACAGACAAGCACATATGTATTTCCACACACATGTGCCTGGGTACACCTATACACTAAACATGCAAACATGGGAAGGAAACAGCAAACACAGAAACCCATGGTCCAACATACATGACACAGGCACACACATGTATACATAGGTACACAAACACATGTACTTAGCCATACAGGTATACACACATGCAGAAGTAGAGATGAAAATATATGCTCTTTAACATGACAGTGACCAGAGCAGATGGCTGTTATGAGCTGTTGCTTCCCTGACCTTCATCTTCTCCCTGTATCTGTTATTCAGTGTTGAGTAGGCTCCTGGACAGGAATGTTGAGGCAGGAGCAGGAGCTTCAGTGTGGTCATAGCTTTGTGAGGCAGAAGTCTAAGTCCAGTCTTGGCCTCTGCCCTGACCAACCACTGGACTATAGATGCCCTGTGTACAGGCTGGGGATTCTGCATAGACAAGACTTGGGGATTATTGTAACTGGCCATTTTCCCCCCACTACCCCCATTTGTGCCCTGCTAACAGTATATACTCTGAAAGGGAAACCTGAGAAATGGTTGTGAGTCTCCTCAGAAAACAAGCCTATCCTCCCACCCAACTGTGTTAAGTGCCCATCAAATCAGAACCAGAATTATAAATAGTTACAACTTTACAATAATTGGCAACACATATGTTATAGTATTTACAGTATCATAAATGCTTCTGTTTCTCTGGTTAAGCAATCCCTGAGACGAAACAGTGTTCTGTGTTTGCCAAGGGAGAGAGGGCCAATGCCCAGGACACACAGGATTTAGGGGTGTGAGGTGGCATGTTGTGGGGTTTCTGATCATTCTGCAGAGCCCAGCTCCTCCAGGAACAGTGGGCTATAGTGAGAAGCTTGCCAAGGCAGGTATATTAGTTAAAGTTGGACTCTTCCCCATCGTTAGCCTGTGGTCCTTTGACCTCAGCCACAGGTGCTCAGAGTCCTCTCAGGTGGGCAAATGTTTCAGTGTCCTTGGCCTGACTTGATGGTAGCGGGGGGCCCAGGTTGCCCTGGTAATGAGCTCTCTGTTTTCTCAGCCAAAGCGCTCTCGAACCAGCAGCATCAGTTTCTTCTTGCCTTTGTAAATCTGTTTGAGATTGTCAATGAACTGGGCAAATTGCAAGTGGCCATCTTGGGGCAGCAGGAAGGTCTCCCGAGCCTTGCTCAGAAACTCAATGAACTCTCCGTAGTGGCGGGGGCTGATATGTGTCAAGCGTGAGTGTGTAGTGTTGATGTAGGCGTTGATGGTGGCATCCAGCAGCTGGCGCAGTGGAGCTTTGTCAGTTGACATGAGCTTTCCAGAGCTGCGGCGGCCTGGGATGCCAGCCAGACCAGGTGCAGTCACTGTACAGCGCCGCAGGATGTCTGAAAGCACTGTGGCACAGTGTACACTCTTCACCACCAGAGGGATGAGAGCTGCCAGCTCATTCTTGCCCAGAGAGTGGCTGAGGGCACAAGCCCAGAGCACATCATTGATGGCTGGGTGGGTATCCTGGTTGTAGGCTAGGTTCAGATGGCTCATGGCCAGCGAGGCCAGTTTGAAGGCACGTAGCGGGTAGCCACGGAGCTCCATGTAGCGGGCAATGGTGAACAGCTGTGAATGGGTCATGCCACCAGCAGCAGCATCAATGGCAATCTGGTAGGCCGCCTCAAAGGCGATGTGGTCTTTTTCACAGAGTGTAAGAGCTGACAGGGCACAACTTTGTGGATCCTTCATAGCACACTGCAGGGCCAGTGTGCGAGCGCAGCTAGCCAGTTCCTCTCGCTGTGGGTAGTCAAGACTGAGGCGCAGGATAGTGGTGTGGGATACAGCAGTGGCAGCTACAATACTAGTAGCCTCAGTAGGAGTGAATAGTGTGTACCAGCTCTGCAAGATGCTCACCAGGGCCCGTACACCTGTCGGGGAGAGCTTGAACTCAGCAGTGGCCTTCCAGGTCCCAATCCAGGTCTGCCCAGATTACCGTTTGGGGTCTTTGGCCTGTAGAGATGAGTTCTCCCTCCTCAGCAGCCTTGAGATGATCTGAGGCAAACCAAGGCAAGGGGAGCATCCCAGATGGCCAGACCCTGTTGGGGGCCTCTTCCCACCCCTGCCTTCCCCTGGTGAGAACCTTGAAGGTCTCTGCAGTGCTCTTAGCTCCTCACAAGGATGAAGCAACAGAGCTTGTGGTTTGCCTGCCTAAAGTCAGGGCTTGCAGGTCTGCCTGAGGGTTCTAGCTGAAGTGGGGCCTCTGAGTCTTGAGCTGGAGCTTTAGACTCTAGAAGGGGTCCTGAGCCTCCAAGTTCTTATAACTGTGGACAGGAATTACGATCAAATCACTGGGTTTACTACCTCCAAGGGAACATTTGTGTACTGGTGGATGAAATTCATTCTCTCAGATATGTCTCTGATTAGAGGGCTGCTGACATCAGGATATGGTCCAAGCAGTGAGAACAGAGCTTGGGATGGCTGGACAGAGGCCATCTTTACCAACAGCCTCATCCTTTCCTAGGTCATGAGGAATAGGAATCTGACTGCTCTAAAGACTCATTATCCTGACCAAGAGCTGGACCTGGAAATTCTCGTGGGGTAGAGGGAGGTGGGAAAACTCACCCACTTCTGTAGCACAGGTTACCAACCATCGCACCATCTCCCGGCGCCTCCAGTTGAGAGTTGATAAGGTCATCCGCATCACCTGGGCATGAAACTCATACTGAGTGGCTGAAGCCTAACTATTATGACCTCCTCTCCCTCACTTTATCTTGCCATTTATTTATTTAAATATTTTGTTGTTGCTTTAAACAACAATCTTTCTCCTGATAAGTATGATCAAGTTTAAAATCTTCCCCACCCTTCTCATTCATTAGATAGGAGGCTTCTCTGGTAACTTGTTTGCTTTCTGGTACCTGGGATTGAACTTAGGTCCTTGCACTTGCAAGGTCCTTGCAAGGCAGGCAGTAGAACCACTAAGCTGAATCCCCAGTCCTCTGATAACTTGTTAACATTTTTTTTTATACCAGGGATTTAACCCTGGTCCTTGCACTTGCAAGGTGGTGGCAGAACCACTGAGCTAAATCCCTGTCCCCATTTTTTTTTTTTTTTGAGACAGAATCTGGCTATGTAATTCAGGCTGGACTTGAATGCATTATATAGCCCAAGCTGGCCTCAAACTTGTGGTGATCCTCCTGCCTCAGCTTCATGACTGTGGAGATTACAGGCAAGGGCCAGCATGTCTGGCTCCAAATAAAATTCTTACACCTTGCTTGATTGGCAGGAATATGAAGATGGAATGAAATAGGGTCCCCCATGGATCCTCAAGCTATTTTGCTTGTTCTGAAAGATGAAGCCCAAATTAGAGTCCTTACCTTTTGCTTAACCTAGAACTCATGTTTTGGGGGCATTAAAAGAACCAGACTTGGTCTGTGTTCAGTCCCCTTGGGGATCTTACCTTTTGCCAACTGTCACTAGAAACCTAATGTGGGAACAGCCCACCCCTACCCCATACCTGTAACCCCAGCTCAAGGGCCACATTGAGCAGGGTGCTGTCTGTACTACTGTCCGTGGGAGTAGCAATCTTGAATGCATCTTGGGCCAGTTTGAAGATGAGGGAGGAAGAATGGATGTGCTTCTGTACTGCTTCCAGAATAGTTCTCAGTCTGCGAGTATCCCCTAGGTGTGGAGAGAAGGAGCAGAGGCAGAGTTTGCCTTAAAGTTTCCCTAGACCGATCACAACAAATACTGGCTGAACTGATGGCTATCAATTCATTGAATGATGCTGGGTATCAGAAATAATTTCCTTCCTTCCCTTTGTCTTTCCTTTCTTTGTTTCTTCTTTCTCTCTGTCTCTCTCTGTCTCTCTCTCTCTCTCTGTCCCTTCCTCCTTCCCTCCTCTCTCCCTTTCTCTCTCAACAGGGTCTCACTGTGCAGTTTAGGCTGGCCTCAAACTTGCACTGATTCTCCTTCATCACTTCCCAAGTGCTGAGATTACAGGCATGTACCACCATGCCCAACTTGGAAACAATTTTCTTGACCACCTGAATTTTAAAAACTACTTGTACAAGAGAAAGGAAGTTGCATTACTGCCCCTCCAAGGTACGCCAGTCCCGCTGTTTGCTTTTCATGACAGCTTCCTGGAGCAAAATGGACCTGGACCACTACTTCCTATTCAATAGGCAAGGATTCTATAAAAAGCACTAATACACGGAATTAAGAAACACACCACCTAGTAAGTGAAGGTTGTTACATGAAGTTAGTGTAGTGTGTAAAAGATTGGTATACATTTTTGTTTTTGAGACAGGGTCTCACTATGTATTCCAGGCTGATCTTGAACTCATTGTGTAGCCTTGGCTGCTCTTGAACTCGTGACCATTCTGCTTTTTGCCTCTTGCATGCTAGGATTTATTGTAAGTATGTGCCACCACACCCAGCTAGAAGATTGGTATGTCTTATGAAGGGTAAATATGTAAAAAAAAAATGTAGGTCCTATTTTGTTGTTGTTGATAAAGTAAAAAGATGTAGTGGTTAGAGCGCAGGCTTTGGAGTAAAATACATTGGGGACTGAACCTGGTTCATCCATTAAACAGTTCAGTTACTCCATCTATAAAATGGAAACAATAACATTTAGGGTTCTATTTTTATAAAATGTGATAAATAGCAGTGTATAATATATATGTGTGTATAAACATAAATATAAACTCTCCAGCAGTGTTTATACCAATGTCTTATAATAATTATCATTGGGTGTCAGAATTATGGAAGAGATGTTCTTTATTTTTTATCATATTTAAAAATAATTTTTTAGAATTAATAGACTTGGTGCTTTTTTTTCCCCTCAGACAGGGTCTCACTATGTAGTTTAGGCTGTCTTCAAACTTGCAGATATCCTCCTGCCTCAGCCTTCTGAGTGCTGGGATCACAGGCATGTGCCACCATGCCCAGCTAGACTTCATGTTTTTTTTTTTTTTTTTTTTTTTTTATCCAACTCAAGTCCTTACATTTGCGAGGCAGTCACCAGAACCACTGAGCTAAATCCTCAGCCCTACATTTTTATTTTTTATTTTTTGGTACCAGAGATCAAACGCAGGACTTTGAGCTTGTGAGGCAGGTGCGGTGCCACTAAGCTAAATCCCCAGCCCAACTTCATGTTCAGGTCTTTTTACCGATGGTAATGGAACACCATATATCCCCTATTATTAATATCTTAAATTTGTTTAGTATATTGGATGAACCAGCATTGATACTTTATTAGCTATAGTGCCTGCTTTACTTAGGATTTACTCTTTGTGTTATATGGCTACAGGTTTTGACAAATGCATGCTATGGATCCACCACTATAGCATCATACAGAATAGTTTCACTGCCATAAAAAATCTCTTTAGCTTCATGTCTTTCAAACCGACCCCCCCCCCGCACCTCTGACAACTAAAATGTCTCCACAGATTTGCCTTTTCCACAGTGCCATACAACTGGAATCATAGCATGAACCTTTCAATTTGGCTTCTTTCAATATGCAGTGCACATTACATTTCCTGTGTCTGTTTTGTGGCTCGATAGTTTACTTCTTGCTATTGCTAAATAATATTTCAAATTATATGGATTTATCATAATTTATCTGCTCATCTTCGTTTCACTCTTTTTTTTAAGGGGGATTGAACTCAAAGCCTCATGTAAGCTAGTAAAGTGTTCTATGACTCAACTATATCAAAAGTTCTTTAAATTTTTTGAGGGACATCTTGGCTGCTTCCATTTTGGGGCACTTAAGAATAAAAATAAAATAAATATTCATGCACAGGTTTTGGTATGGACTTGTTTTTGAGTCATCTGGGTATTATCCAGGAGCATGATTCCTGGATCATATATAGTAAGAATACAGTTATTTTTGTAAAAAAAATGCCCAAGTGTCTTCCAAAGTGGCTGTACTATCTTGCATTACCATCAGTAATGTGTAAGATACTGTTGTTCCACATAACTGCCAGCATTTAGTGTTGTTTTGGACTGTAGCCTTACTAATAGTGTGTGGTGGTATCTTGGCTGTTGTTTTAATTTGCAATTCATTTAATGTATTTATTTGCCTTATCTTATTTGTATATCTTCTATGGTGAGGTGCCTTTTCAGATCTTCAGTCAATTTTATTGACTGAATGACTGACTGATTTTGGCATTAGGAGTTTCACTGAGCTACAAGCATAGCCATTTCTTATTTTTTATTTTGAGGCAAGGTCTCCCTAAGTTGCTAAATTGCCAAGTCTGGGCTTAAACTTGTGATCCTCCTGCCTCAGCCTCCCAAAGTATTAGGATTACAGATGTGTTTTAGCCTGCCTGGCTTTAGCCAATTTTTAAATTGAGTGGTTTGTTTTCTTGTTGTAGAGCTTTTTTGTGTATTTGGGATTACAAATCCTGTATTAAGTATGGTTTTCCAGTATTTCATTCTCATTTGTGACTTTTTATTTTTTCCACACTAAAATAATTTTATTTGCTTGAGGGCTTGTATTGTAACCATTAAACCAGCATTGCACTTTTAAAATCTGTATAGCCTTAAAAAAATATGTACAGCCTAGAACTCAGAAGTCAGGGCTTTTAGGTCTTTCTGGATGTCTCAAGAGTATCTACTTTTTTATTTTTTATTTTTTTTAGCTGAGTAGTGTTATCATCCTTCAGCTTCTAGTTGATAATGCCGGATTTGGCAATGACTGTTTAATCCCTGAGGTTTGAGGATGCATGAAAGATTTAGGAAGACTTCAATGCTATACACCCCCTTCACCAATGTTGGCAGATGAATTCTGGATAACGATTTCAGTGTGGACTCAATGAGGTCAGCCACATTTAACCTAGTATCCCAGCTGGTGTATCCTTTTAGCTGATGGCTTCATAGGTGCTTTCAGTTGGTCACCATTTTAAGCACTTCTTTGCAATTTCCCTTATCACTGTCTGTTGCCGTTCATGGATTCAGTTCCTGGAGGGAATGTACCTGCCAAATTCACTCTAATCCACACAACCACACAAGTTGCCATGTTCTCCAAAAATCCATCCATGGTAGAATGCCAAAATTTTCAGTCATACGATAAATCCAGCAAAATCCATATTACATATGTTTTCTATCACGTGGTATGTTGGGTATCACGGTTAGTTTTTAGATAACATATACAAGAATGTACACTGGGCTAAAAACTGGTACTTCATGACCTGATGGATAATGAATTTGAAGACATTAATATTTCTCTGCACCAGATTAAGATGATTCTTCCTCTCTTGCTGATGTGCAGTTACCATCACAAACATAGAATTCATGGTTACAATCCATGTCCTTACTTGTCACAATTTTAGGTGTCTGAAGAAATAAACTTGTGTCATAAATAATTTCTTTTTTAAGCTCATATTCTAAATCACCCAGAAGAGCAAGCTCATTAACTACAGACTTTCCCAGAAAACCATTAGCACATGCACTATCAACTTGTACAACAGTGATACAGTAATCTTATTGTCTTGGACCACTGCCTCTCCTGCAACTTGCTCAGTAAGTTTTTCTTTAAGGGTTGCTATTTCAACCAGATAAGGGAAGGCTCAAGACCACTGAAATAGCTGTGTGACGAATAAAACAAGCTGTGTGCATCTCCTTGGGTGCAGGATCTGCAGGTTTTTCATTTTCTTAACAGTATTTTTCACAGAGCATAAATTTATAATTTTAATGAATTTCATCTACCCACTTTTTTCTTCCAAGGGATGTGCTTTTGAAGTTGTGTCTAAACAATCATTGCCAAATCCATGGCCACCTAGATTTTTTTCATGTTATCTTCTAGAAGTTTCCTATTTTTTTTTTTAAACCGGGAATCTAACTCAGGACATTGTGCTTGCAAGGCAGAAGGCGGCACCACTGAACTAAATCCTCGGCCCTATAATTCAATTTTAATTAATTTTTGTGAAAGGTGTAAGGTCAGTGTCTATTTGGAGATTTTTTTTTTTTTTGGTACCAGGGATCGAACTCAGGACCTTGTACTTGTAAGGCAGGCGCTGTGCCACTGAGCTAAATCCCCGCCCAGTTTTTTTTTTTTTTGGTGGGGGGTTGGGGCATGCAGATGTGCAGCTTTTCCTTTGCTCTTTTCTCAGATATTTGTGTGAATGTATTTCTGAGCTATTTTGTTCCAAAGATTGTCTATTCTTTTATCAGTACCACAAACTTGATTATTGCAGCTTTATAACAAATGTTTAAGGTAGGTAGCATCAGACCTCTGGGTTTATTCTTTGATACTATATTGAGTATCCTAGGTCTTTTGCTTTTTCATATGAACTTTACAGAGTTTGTTGATATTCACAAAATAACTTGCTGAGATTTTGTTTAGAATTGTATTTGGTTGGCATCTATATGTGAAGATGGAAAGAACTGACATCTTAGTATTTGGTCTTCCTCTTCATGAACATGGATTATCTAATTACTCACATCTTTTATTTCTCTCATTGAAGTTTTCCTCATACAGATCTTTTTTCTAGGGGAAGGGAGTTAAGACAGGGTCTTCCTATGAAGTTCATGCTGGCCTTGAACTCATGATGATAAGTGGTATTGGTAAAAGAATAGATAATCTTTGGAAAAAATTAGCTCAGAACTAGATTCACACAAATAATTGATATTTGACAGAAGAGCAAAGTTAAAGTTGGACATTTGCATCCTGACTGCTG